CCACAGTGCCCCAGCGTGTTTCTGAAAATCTATTGACCTTTTGCGAAATTTTTTGGGTAAATTTTTAACTTTTTCTTACGAAACAAGGGTTGCATGTGAATTCGTAGTGGTATTTCACAGGTAACACGGTACCAGGGACCCAGTATCCCCCCCCCCTTGCGGCGGGCCTGCCTTCATGCACGCTGGGCTTGTCGATTTCCTCTGACATTTTTGAAGTGGTGAATGCATAGCTGAAGAGCGCTTCAGCTAGAATTGTATTTACAATTGGGTGGTTTTTCTACGAGGATTAAAAATAACCGGAATATAACAAAAGGATAGGAACTTTGCAAAACGATAATCCGGGTATCGGAACTTGGCTGTTTTGAAAACGCCTTCAAACGCGGCGTGATACCTCACGCATTCCGGAGAGTTCAAATAGTTGTGTCATTGCGCCTTAGAAATGCGACGGAAGATTACAATTGAGGACACCGCACCAAGAACAGCCTTTAGGCGTATAAGTCGTCATTACGCCCATCTGCTTTTCGGATTCTACTTACCCTAGACTATGCTGTGGTAGCAATCAAATATAGATGGGTAACGGCTCGAGGTCGTAAAACCTTTTTTTTCCGAGTTAAGTCAGGCCTCTGGATCGATGGGTACAAGAACGACCTATAAACGGGCCTATAAACTTAAGGGCCTTAGATGCTAGTTACCCCTTTCTTTACTCACCATCGATATTCTTTTATTCTGCGTTAATCATGCGTGATTAAAATGATTTATACATCATATTGCCACCAAAATGACTGTTGGGCGTAATNTTAGAGTGTAAACCCAAAATGTATCGCACAATCTACTCGACATCCTTCAGTAGAAGGGTTTGGTCACCCAAAAACACCAAAACAGGGTACCTGCATAGAAAAGTCTGCGGAATACATCAAAAACAAAACTTTATATACGTTTTTCTCAAAACGCGGTTTCCAGTTATAGGCTGTTCTTGGTGCGGTGTCCTCAATTGGAAGATAACAATACTTTTATATACTAATAGAAGAAACAAGTAGCTTTGTTTATCTGAAATAATTAGCTATATCCCTTATCAATAAACAGATAAATAAAGACCGAGTCAAAGTATCAGCGTTTCCTCAGTTGATGTTGTTCGCAGCTCTCTAAAAATAGCATGCAAGGTTGGTAGCCGAGCTTTAAGCCGGAATACAGTCCGTCAGGCAGTCAGTCATTTCGCGACTGTGAACTTATTGGGTTTACACCATGAATAAGCGCTCAACATTATTTTTTTTTCTGGTGTTAGAAGCAACGGGGGCCTTCATTGAACTTGGAGCTTCATCCAATGAAAATGCATCATACCTAATTATCCATTAAGTTTTATTCAAACTTTACATTTTTTGGTTTAAGGAAAAAGTCTTGACAAAAGAATCATTTTCTTTTTCTGAGAACGGTTGTTACTTTTCCCTCCTTAGATTGCTTGTTGCCAGCAATTCTTATAACTGTAGGTAACTAATTGTAACCACAAAAAACCCTCAAATAGGGTAAAAATTCTGCCAAGCCTATGGGATCTTATCATAAAATTAGTAGGTATGTATCTAAAAAAAATTTAAAAAAGAGAGGGGGGGGAGTAATCTCTTGAAAATTACAAAAGGAGAAAAGAAAAGTAGCTAAAACTCTGTTTTCTATTTCAAACCTCAAAATGTCTGATATCATTTGAGGTCAAGATTTTTTAAGTATAGGTACGCTCCAGAACTGCAACGAGCAAATGAACAGTTAATTCTGCTGAGAGTCCCTTTTAGTCTCGGACGCGACCAGCTTAACTTTGAAGCTAGTTTAGTTACCTGGGTCACTAATACAAGGAAGGAATATTGGATTTGTTTCCTACGAGAAGATGGCGAGGGATAAAACAAGCAGTTCTTTTTTTAGTCTCAAACCTCAAAATATTTGATTTCTTTTGAATTCAAATTTTTTTACCATCTCCTCAGCTCACTTTCATTTTCGTTTTGCATTTTAGGAAACAAATTCCACTCTCATACATCAATGAAATTTATTTGATTTTTCGCTAATTAATCCCCTTCATTTCAGGTAGCCACAACTCTTCTCACCTACGCATGTTACTCGCCTTGTCTCGTAAAAGTTTAAAAAATACACCCTCTTACCTTTCAAATTTGGCCGCCTACTTGGATTTGGGGCTCAAATTTTGACCGAGGAGTCGTTTTGACTTCAAATGTGAAATCTGCGACCAAAATTACGTGGAATATGATACCTCACATGGCACGATATGCACATGTGAAAATACCGATATCCCGGAGGCCCTATTATGGGCGCCATTTTAAATTTTAGGCATTGTGGGGGGGGGGTGTTCCGGGATCGAACGGTGATACAATTTTAGACTGCTGTTCGAAAGAACCTACTGATGAAGGTTACACAAGTTTTGATCACATTTTATATTGTTAACGTCGTTCTAACAATGATTCAATGCGAAAATTCGCCAAAAAGGAGCGAATTAAGGGCCCCCCCCCCGGCCCCCCATGGCCTTAGAATTTTGGGCTCACTTGCGAAATGGAACCTCTTATAGGTAAAGATGGTATCCTGAAAGTTTCATGCTTTTTCCAGAAATGCACGATTCTGGGAACTACTTCCTCTAATCTGCCCTACTAGTGGACTTCCAGCGAGAGAAGCTGATACCTGATTCAGTGGCTTAATTGTTTGTCAATCACTATAACTTTGTACTGAAGAAAAGTAGAGCGCACCACAGCTGGAAAAAGGAAGTTTGATACCTTTGAAATGAAGAATGAAATTTGGTTATAATTGCTGCACTTTCATTGCAAAGGTGTTGCTCATTTTAGGTATTCCTGTCATCGTGAAATCACCCACATAATAACTGGTTGTTATAATATGATAGCTGAATGACATTAATAAATATTATGTTACAAAGGTATAAATTAAACTTTTTTTCAATGTTCTATATGGCGCAGGACGAACCACATAAGGGACTTCGGGAAATGGCAAGAAACTTAGCCCAGATGAAAGATGTCTATGAACGGGAACGAATCATTTACGGCTTATTCCTGCAACTTAAAGAAGCGCAGAAAGAAGCAATCCTGCAACTTAAAGATTCGCAGAAAGAAGCATTCCTGCAACTTAAAGAAGCGCACAAAGAAGCATTCCTGCAACTTAAAGAAGCGCAGAAAGAAGTATTCCTGCACGGAAAAAAAAATGATTGCTAAAGTAGCAAAAGGCATAGTGCAAAATTTGCAAATAAGAAATTTTGCTAGTATTACTCCGTGCGATGTAATTCTGGCAAAAACATTTGCTATACTTAGAAATAAGAGGTTAGAAATAAGAAAAACTTACTTAGAAATAAGAATAGTTGGACTTGCAAATGTTATTTTAACTGAAATTGCAATTTTAGTTTTTGCTGTTTTTGCAATTTTTCAGCAGAAACAGCAAAATGTAATTGTAAAAGTTGCAAGAATACAGTAAAAATGGCAAATTGTTTGCTCAAGTTGCTAATTCTTATTTGCAATTTTAACCTTTCCTGGTTTGGGAAAGTTGCAAAATCTGTTTGGCAGAAATCGCAAAATTTATTTTGCAACGTTTGTTATACATTTGCAAGTATTACTTTTTAAAATTTGCGCAGCTTGCAATTTTGTATTTTTCAAAATTTACAAATTTAAATTTACACGAATTTCAAGTCTAAAATTATTAAAACTGCAAAATATCCTGTAAAATTTGCAATAAAAATTGTGCAATTGCTGCAAATTTCAAAATGATGCGAGTTTAATGGCTTTGGTTTTTTTTTTAACCGTAGAGGCGGTAAAGCACTTGTTTTAATCTGATAAGTAAGACATTTAGTAATCGTCCGCCATTATTTTTTTAAGCAACAATGGAGGAGCATGAACAGTGGAACAGTTGCTTTATTGAATTCATCTCTAATGTGTGCCGAGACGTGGCGTTTCCCTTTAAGATCTGAAAGTTTCAGTGCCCTATACGTATACCCACGTTCACAAAACGCCTGCAATGGACCACTAGACAAGGTACGAATTTCAGCGTTCTGATACATGTTTCGTAACTAAAATTTCCCGCAGAACACGATGCGCACAACGAAAATTACCGAAATCAACTCCTTACGAAAATATTTAATGATTCTTGATGCGTGACTTCAAACCACCCGCTCATGAAAACTCAATGCTCCACGTGATTCACATTGCGCGCTAAGCGTTATCATGACAGTCTCTGCGATATAAAAATCTGGCAACCTCAATCTTGACGTTTTTGCTCAGCTGTAGCAAATTGCTTACAGTTTGAACGACACATGATGGGAAATGAACATTGCTCGATTGAGAAGCTTGCTGAAACCGTTACAGTGCGCGATTTGAGTCACGTAGAGCTTTGAGTTTCTTGTGAGCGGGCAGTTCAAATCCCTCGTAACCAATGTGAAATAAAAACGTTAATATCTTCGTTGGGAGTTGGTTTCAGTAATTTTCGTTGTGTGAATCCTGTTCTACGTGAAGTGCTGGTTAAGAAACATGTATCAGATCGCTTAAATTCGTACCTTGTCTAGTGGTCCATTTCACTAAGAAACCTCCCTATTCACTACACTAATAGAAAATAGTATTTCAATTTTCTTTTTTTCCAGTATTTCGATTTCTTTTTCTTAAATTTTTATTACATATAATGTAGTGTCAATCGTGTAAAGAGTTGTGTCGATATAGAAATTTTGATATTATGATCGGTTGAAGAGTATTTTTGGCTTTTTCAAGTCTTAGTTCAATTTGGAAATTGATTTTCTTTCCAGTATTCTTTCTCTTCGTCGTGAAAACCTAATTTTGCTTTTTCGGAACTGTGTGCATCATTAAGACATGAGCCCTAAGAATCATAAGAGAATATGCGTAACAGGGCTCACGTCATAATGCACATATTTCAGTTCGGCAGAAATACGTCCATTCGTAATACAGGTGACATGCTGGAAAACATTTTAGTGATGATCCTCAGAAAAGAGAATGTGCAATGATAAATGACAGGGAGTCTTATATCTTCTTATATTTATACATAATAAAAAAGAAAACAAAAACATAGCTTATCTGTACAAAACAATACATGATTATACACTACAGCAAAAAATTGCAGTCTTAAAGTTCTGACGCATATGCAGTGAAACGAAACAATAGACTATCAGTCATCCAGACCATATACTAACATCAGGTAAATAACAACTCCTTTAATATCTTTGAAGTTTTAACAGGAAACTCTTAATCACCAATCAAACACACGATAGGATAAAAACTTTAACGGTAAAACAATGGACTCGTATAACTTTGGATACTTAAAACTTTAAAATCAACGAATAAACTTTTTATAAATAAATAAGCCGGAAACGACAATTTCGTTCTAAAATATTCTCACAAGTGGTGGTAACAGAAAGTATGAGAATGAGACACGACAGTATAACCATCAGTGGAAAAAGTCTTAACAGTTTCTCCCTCTAAATATAAGTCCCATAATTTTTTACTAGGAAAAATGAGGCTTGCGTGATGATGTAATGTCTTGAATATTTTTGTTTGTTTTTGAATTATATATTCTATCTGTAATTGTAACAGGGCTGAATTTTCCACTATCCTCACATGCATTAGCATCATATCTCCTCTGAAACGCAAGTTAATAGTAATTAGCTTGTGATTCATTTAAACTCTTAATTAATCTTCATTTTATCATATTAGTGCCTTTCGACGTAATCAATGGAAGATGATACAGTAAGTAATCCAAATTTTCCTTCACTTTAACACTCCTTGGCGCTCCATGGCCGGGCCTTCCCCAAAAGTTTTGCCAATTTTCAAAATGTTTCCTAGAGTTCATAAGATCTTGATTTCGTTCCTCCTGAAACATCAGAGGAATGCATATCATATTTTGGAATTAATTGTTTTAAGTGTGATGTAATTGAATTTCTTTATTGGTGAGGCGTGGTAAAATCAATTTTCAGATGAGTAAACTGTATGCGTAGTCACGATTTAAGTCTGTTGTTCCTCAAGCATTGTATGTACTCTCATTTACTTTAAAACTTCCACAATGTTGAAAGCTTGGCATTGGGAGTTTAGAAATTGTATTTTATTATGACGGACATATTCTTCTGCACATGTAAATATTGAAGAAAGACAAGCACCTTACCTATACTTTGTGCTCAGCTCATGGCGGTGTTCTGTTACTCAACATTCTCTATGATCAGATTCTCACTGACGACAGCCCGTGATTAATAAGACAATTTTGAAAGAAACAAGTATTTAGCTTTTAACCTATTTTCTTAATGGCAGGAAGTAAACTAGGCGATGCTTAAAAATAGCGTGCAAGAGAATGTTGATGTAAGCATGACCTGAGTTTACTTATTATTAAAGAGATAATCGGCTAAAAACTTAGTACTTGTTTATTTCATTATGGGTAGCCGAAAACCTAGTAATTTTGAAAATGTTGTTTACTTATCATCGGCAACCGAGCATAACAGTCGCGGAACTTTGAAGACAAGGACTTCAGCTGCAGCTCTCCAAAGTATCCACGCTTTAAAGGAAATGAGTCAGTTGAATTGCTCTTAAAACTTTCAGGAAAAAATCATGACATGTTGAGAAAAACATTGTCCATTTATTTAACGAACTTTTTGGGCAAATGACGAATATTGATGTAGCACCCGAAAAATAAATTATAACTATAACTAGGGATTCGCTGAATCAAATCATTCAAGTTTTTTATTTTTTTTGGGGGGGGGGGCAGAAGTATTTTATTAATTTTACAGGGTGGAGCTACGATTGAACAGAATTGTAGCCGAAGACCTATGTTTACAAACTAAATTTTTAAAGCCTACTATTATATTTACATGTTAATTCCCCCTTTTGAATTCCCCTAAGATACTATATTTAACTATTAGCTTCTCGAAGTTCCTCAATCTTCTTGGTATAAAAATGTTTCAAGTTGCCTATTGAGCCATTTTCCCCTAGAGGGAAATATTGTGGAATAGTCAAATTGGAGACAGAAGAAAGAGAATCATATCCACAGGTTGGAGAGGCCATAACGAGCTAGCCACTCCTTATGAAATATATGTATATTTCTAAAAAAAACAATTTTCCTTAAATTTTGACTGGAGCATTTGAGCAAGTTATTGAGGAAAAACAAGACAAATGAAAAAGGAATCATGAAACATGGGTGTAAAACGTATGCAGCCTGGCCAAGGCATTCTTTTGCTTTCAGTAACTAATTCCAGACATTAACTCCTTCAAATGGCAGTGTAGACCACAACTTCCACTCTGATGCACGAATAGATCGATCAGTCATACCTGGCTTTCCTTTGGCCGCAGTCCCTTTAAGAACCCTGTGTAAACGCCTGCGATCCTATAGGAAATGAAATTTAAGCATGATCTGCTCAATTTGATCAGATCGTCCATTACATTGCGTTTCATAACAGTCTAAAACTAACCTGTCGTCTATGCTGTTGCTCCTCTATTTGATGTGCAAGTGCTTCACCGTATTCTTTCTCTCCCGCAGTGTCACGCCAAATGGGCTCTTTTATGGGATCACTATGAAAGCACAAAAACAATCGAGTGAAATTTTCTTCATTTCAGGAAATTCGTAATGTTTTCCCGTAAAATCAGCGCTAAAAATGTTTCTAAGTGATTTTGGGCCATTGAGGTAAACCATCGGTGATTGGAATCATACCGACTTGAAATTCTAAATAGAAATGTACACAAGCTCTTTCTGTCAATTTATGCCACTGAGTATTAAGGCAGATTCCTAAATCCTCCTCCTGAAACTTTTTCAAAATCGTATTATATCGATGACTATCAAACGATACCTCCTAACTGACAATTTTGGCAAACATGAGTTAGCGCGACCTTGCCGCATTCTACAGTAAAAAATACGCAAGCTAATGATTATAGTTTCTTTCCAATTTTGCGGAGGAGCGCTACAATGAAGCTGTGATGTATGAAAAAATTGCAAATTCAACCTTGAAATTACAAAAAGGCGGAATTTTTTCTTCGTTCTGCAAAATTGTCCGTTTGCAGATATGCGGTATTTTCCGTTAGCCATCGATATGTATCTTAGATGTTCTTCCAGTCCCGCAAGTTTCTTAAAATTTTGGCCTCGGTGTCAGGTACTAAAGAGATGCAAGGTGCTCTTATTACGCAAGACGCACATTTTTGTGCAAAAAAATGAAGCGCATCGCATTAAAGGGGATAAAGAACTGAGTCCTGTATTCCCTTAGTAGGAGATGCTTGAAAGCAAGCTGTTGCTTAAGGTATGGCTAAATTGGACCGAGTTTAACAGAAAGGAACCAAGCCACATCAGCTACTGCCAAATTTAATTGGGCAACACAATTTTTTACGAGAGAACGTTTGTGCGAATTCCTTTGAAATTTTTAAGGCATTTGCTTCAAACTATGGAAAATTTTCACCTCAATTTCCACGAAAATCCGCAGAGCCGTTTTCATGTAAAAAATTAAATTGCCCAATTAAATTTGGCAATAGCTGATGTGGCTTGGTTCCTTTCTGTTTAACGCGGTCAAATTGAAAAAGGATGGCGTTATTAGGCCATGCGGTACGGTCGAATAAAGCGTTACTCGGCGGAACGGTACTTTAACCAGGAAATCTTCTAAATGTCGCTAATCTGAAAAAAAGTACGGTAACATTTACTAAAAGTCTACTTGGTTTTTTACACAGTGATACTACTCAGTGATAATAACCAGAATTATGGTAGTATTCACCAGAACTCTAGTAATACTTACCATAACTTGATAAATACTACCACTGAGTGTATTGTTTGTTACCATACTCATAACACTGTGTCAGAGTATGGTAAAATGTACCATATTTTTTTTCAGTGAAGGCACCTTTACCGGATAACAATACAACAGTCTCATCATAACAACGTTGAGGCTCATAGTGTCCTTCTTTTAATTTTCTTGTTTTGCGGTTGAAAATGCGGGTGTGATCCCTGCGAAACGTCCCGGGTTTCTTATTTTATTTTATGTTTCTGTTTATTATTTGCGGCCTTGGTCCCGTTTTAAGTTGTTCTTTGTTACCGGATAACTTTATGACCGCTAACCGGAAAATTTCCCCCAACTAGGGTGCCTTTACCGGATGACTTTTTAACCACTATTCGGAAAATTTCCGACAGGTAAGATGCTTCCTCCGGATGAGCAAGCCAACACCTTCTTCGTTTTTTTTTATTTTTTATTTTATTTTTCATATTTGCACACAGAAGTATAACAATGTACAATATACACTTTTAAACATATTATAATGTCTTTTAAAGCTTAATTAAACTGTAAGTAGAACTTAACAGTGATGATGATATACATTTTAACATTTAAATTATCATTCACGGTAATCTATTGGTATTATCCGGAGAAATTATGTAAACAAGAAAATCATGGACGCACAAAAATCAATGATTCACCAGTACTCGCGTTAAAACCCGGCTTCGTATTTTCGAGCTATCGCAAACATTTCGCACCTTCTCCCAGACCAGTTGTGTTTTCGTCAAATTGTTGACTGCATGTAATAGCAACGCAATGCTCATACGTTTTTTAAGTGCATTAATCTGCAGAAATTTTGAACTGCGTGCGGAGAACAGTTAGAGTTTACGCGGGCATCGAATCACTGAACTACCTAACTGCAGCATTTACATTCGGCTTGAAGTACCTACTGTTGGCACCTTACCGGTAGGAGATTTCCTGGTTAGCGGTTGAAAAGTCATAGTAAAAGCACCTTAGTGTTTGTTAATTTTCCGATTATTGGTTATACAGTTATCCGTCAAAGGCACCTTAGCGATACCTACTTAAACGATTTTCTAGTTAGGGTACCGCGCCGCCGAATAACCACTTCGATTTAAAAATACAAGTGGGCCATACATAGAAAGATGGATCCCAGATCAGTCATTTATTGTTGTGTGTGACCGTCCACGGGAAAATAGATCTCAGTCCGTAGAGGCAAAATTGGACTACATTTTGCAATTTGGAACTATAAATTCTAGCCCGGTTTAAAAACAACGTGTGTGCTATTAGTTTCCCTATGCACTTAAGTGTTTTTTCCAGAAGAGCCAGAATTTATAGTTCCAAATTGCAAAATGCATTCCAATTAACAGTGAATCAATTTTTTTCAAGACGGGTCTCAAAATTGAGTTTTTGAGATTTCGACCAAAAATTGTCTCTGGTGTCGAGAGAACAAATTGTGTGCGGTTCAGTCCATTTTTGTACTGATCTAGAGCGTGAACTTCTGCGTGAAAATCCGACAATTTCATTCCTCGAATGTGGCAGATTAGAATTGGATTACATTTTGCAATAAGGAACCACTATTTCTGGCTCATTTTAGAAACAACATATATGCCATTGACTTCCCTATGCATATACGTGCTTTTATGAAGGAGCTAGTGCTAGGAGCTTTTATGGAGGAGTGGTTCCTCATTGCAAAATGTAATACAATTGGAACAGTTCACTTTGATATTTTCTGGGAATTTTTTGACTAAAAGTTTTCCTCAATGCTCTGAATCAGGTTGCTCTAGCTTGAGCTTTCATATAGATCGAGATCCCTTTGCCCTTGGACGGAAACATGTAGAGAAGAGGCTACTTACACACGGACAGGCCGAGGGGTGGGCCTCGGTTGGGTCGGGGGAGAAGGTGGCCCGGGTGACGTCATCGTGGTGCTTGAGTCGAACGCGCTCGACAGCGGCGAGCGAAGCGCGATGGGTATCTTGGACGGACGCGGGTTTTTAATTACGTAAACTACCCATGTCTTCGGCTACAAAACAACACTCCATTAGACTAATCTATCGGCTAGCCAACCGCTGTATCTCCATGCTATCCAGTTTGCAGCCCCATCTAGCGGCCACGTCATTCGATATCCGATTGATTCAGTCGTTTTTCTCGGAGGGAAAAATTTCGCTCACTAAAACCTAACCTAAATTCATATGGAACAGTAAAGTAATTGGTCCGTAAGGACCGTCCTTCAGCGGACTGATTGTTGACATTGGTAGACAAAGAAGACAAAAAGGATATGGAGGGATCCTATTGGTGGAAGCGGACGTTTGCAATGGATAGAGGATGTAAGTAATAGACTAATTAATGGGAACCCAGAGAGACCCTAAAGTTAGTCCATCATTCTCTCCCCTCGTCCATGAGAACCATCCATTTCAATCAATGAGATCGCTCCACACTCCTCGTGTCTTTTTTGTCTGTGGCTTTGTCTATCAATTTCAATAATCAACCTGGGGTTCAAATAACCGAAGTTTTTCGTAAAGAACACGAGTCTTGGTTGCGACGAACTAAATCTTCGTCATTTGGACTGCAGTTTGGTTACCCGGGCTGAACATTTTAGTCACTGGGACTTAATCACTTAGTTACTCGGACTTAAAACTTTAGTGTTCCATGCGAACCGAACTTTTTTCACGCCTACACCGCCTGGCAAAATACTTCAGGGAAAAAATACATCGGTCATACGAACCGAAAACTTCAGAGAACACTTTTTAGTTCGAGGATTGAGCCCTCGCCTCGGTCATCAAAACCGGTCTGTTGCGCTTCCCAAACCTAAAAACGTCGGTCGATAGAAGACATTTTCCAGTTTTTCGGTTTACTGAACGGAATCTTCGGTTTGTAGAACTCAACCTTTGGTTCACCGAATCTAAGTTTGGCTCCATCAACCGAATAGGTCCACTCGCGCGTCCAAAGACCCACACTGAAAAAAAAATCTCGGTGTATTCACTAAGAAAAGGGTAAAATTACCAAGAATTTAGGGTTCTATTTGATCCCATTTTTTTCTTGGTAAAATTACCATTTATGGAATTGGTAATTTTACCGAGAAATCGCGGTAAAATTATTTAACTTTCTTGGTAATTTTACTGATCCCCGGTAAAAACGCCGATAATTTTTATCCACTGTGGTAGAAATACCGAGATAAAATGGCGAAGTTACCGGGAATTGATTACCAATAAAAGTGGTATTCTTACCTGAAAAAAAAAAAACAGTAAAAATACCGGTTTTTAGGTAAGCTTACCAGTCTGTCTTGGTAAAATTACCAATAATTGGTAAAAAAGTGAGATGGTAAAGGTACCAACGGACCTTGGTAAAAACGCCGAGAATTTTTTTTCAGTGTAGGTCCACTCGCGCGTCCAAAGACCCACATAGTCAGTCCTCCGAACCGAAAGACGCCTACTGAACTTGGCGGCTCGTATGATTGACGCAATTTTCCGTGTTCAATCCGCCTGTCCATATACTGATTTGTAATCACTACGGAGTAACTGAAAATTCTGATTCTGGGTTGGCTGAAAAGAAATTCTCTGTTTACATTGCGTCCAGTTCCCTCCGTGTTTCATGCGAGAGCGCCAAAATCTAACGTCGGTACATCGAACTATGAAGCCGCTAAATCGGTGACGTGCATAAGCTAAGCTCGCATGCATCGTACTCAACTCAATCCAGGTGGTTCTTTCCAGCCTCGTTGAGGCAATCCTGATGAGCCTTTGGAGAGGATTTCTTGTATCAGATAGAACTGGCCAGGGAATTTTGAGGAGGAAATTAATGCAGTGGTCTAAAAACTGCATTGAAATATTGAAAAAATACTGCATCGTAAGGTACGGACATGGTTCGGTTTATTTTAGTTTATTAGAAGCGTTAGTGTAAATTGGAGTTTGGCCAGTACCAAAAATTTGCATTAGAGTCCAAAATATGAACTGCGATAAGTATTAGTGCGAGGGTGGAGGGGAGAGTGGTCATAGTTCAAGCCAGTGGCGTGGCGTGCTTTGCGATATATCAATTGTTATGCCATTTAAACCTATGGAAAAGGATCGATAAAAAGGGTGTTCGCAGCGAACACCTTAATAATCGATTCTTTATCACAGGTTTAAATAGCATAACAATCGATACATCGCGATTCACGCCACGCCACTGTCAAGCAAATGCGATGAGATGACTGAACTGACCTTAATTTCCCAGCAGAATAGTGTGGATGTAGCGCTTTTAGCTAATCTACTAATTGTGGATCACTCAAGAGTCGGTTCGACAAATCGATTTTCAACGGTTAAGTGAACTGACAAACAAAGTTCGGTCATATGAACCGAATTTTTCGATTATACGGACCGAAAGTTCAGTTTGACAAACGGAAAATTATATAGGGATATTATTGAACATCAAACCTTTGGTTCATATGACCAAACTTTTTTTTTCAGTGTTGAAAAATGAAGGTGTACTTTCGGAATTTTTCCTCAAACATGACAGTATTAAGGACGTCAGAAATTGATAGAAATATCAAAAGGATAGCTAAAGTCAATACGAGTAAGGTAAAAAGAAAGTACAAGAAGTCGAATATTTACAATATTTACGCCGTTATTTTACTTCAGGGAAGACAAAAACTCTTCTCCAAAGCACTCCTCAGAACCAAAGTATAGTATGAAGCTATAAGGTCAAAACTGCCGTGCTAAGGAAGAACGCCGTATGAACATTCGAGAGTTGCCAAATTTCCCCGGATAAAATATGTATTTTTGAGAAATATTATACATATTTTCCCTTGAGATTTTCAGATAATTTAGATTCAATTGCGTACAAAACTGTCGGAAAAATTGGCATAGAAATATTCAAAAATTTTTCTGATAATTAGTGATTTGCCAGAGGAAATTATACGCCGTTTTTCCTTAACTAGGCAGAAAAGCTCGCGAGTCTTTGATTGATGGCTAGCTCAACGGTCTTTCTAAGATGGAGATGCATGGATCCTACAGCAGTTGGAATGGAAAAGTAGAGAAAAACTATGGACTTACTGTGGCCTTATTTCCTGTATCCTAGTTATGTCACTGGAGCAGAGAGGCCATCTCGCTGCTATTCGCTGTCTTTTGGCCAGAAGAGGGACCAACTCCACGCCCCCTGTTATCAGCTCCTGGATAAAATTTAACCCAAAGCTCAGCTTAACACTTCTCAGCTCAGTGTTGCCGGTCTTTAAGCATAAATCTCTTATTTTTGTCACGTATTATTTGTAGAAAAAAAATACCATCTGATTCCCGGGCAATTCATTCATACGGCAGATGAACACATTTACTATTTTTTATATTGTACCAAAATAATTTGTCTTGTATACTGCCGTGCTAAGGAAAACGCCGTATAAACCTTTGGCCGGTGTCAAATTTCCTGCGATAAAATACGCATTTTTAGGGAAATTTGTGTATGTTTTTCCCCCAGTTTTCAGAGAGTATATTTGTGCTTCATAATTCTATCTACAGTATCTGAAATATTCAAGGAAATATTTCCGTAAATTTCCTCAAAAATGCCGGTTTCATAGGACGAAACTTGGCAACTTTCGGTTGTTCATACGACATTTATCCTTAGCACTGTAGAATAAGCTTCAACCATTCTCAATATATTTTGGCACATTTCCTTGCAAATTCTAATTCATCTAAAATATAAAAAAGGCAATATGGGGTGAAAAAACGTCATTAGTTACATTATATAAAAATGAGGGGATAAACCTGAAATTTCGCCCCAGGGTGCCCTGACTATTTGCCGTTTCCAGTAAAGAGTCTCATTGAATATTTAATAAAATGATCAACGAGGATCAGTTATTGGGAAAAATCATCATGATATAAATCGTCAATTCAATGGAACGCTAGTTTAAAGTTGCGAAATTCGATTTTTTTCCTGCTTCAACATTATTGATGCTAAATGCACAAACGTACCTCTTTTGACGGGGGTAAAAAGTGTCTATCCAAGGGAAGCATTGGAAGAGATAACATTTCCTTGTTTGATTCGAAGGAGGGGTGGCCATAATCCGCCTGAGGTCTGTCAGGCTTCGGTATATTTTCTTGCATCCTCTCTATTAATTTTGGATCAGTCCAACCCTGCATGAACATTCAAGAAAACCTTGATTAAAGTAGTGCATGAACATGCTGAGAATATATTCTTAGAGTTTTCTCAATGTTGAACTCTAAATGCATGTTCGATCGCGCCGACTGACGTCACGTTTTTAAATGTAAAATGGACTACATTTTGCAATTAGGAACTATAAATTCCGGCCCAGTTTAAAAACAACGTATGTGCCAATAAATTCCCTATGCACATAAGTGTTTTTTTCAGATGAGCCAGAATTAAACGGTCCAAATGGCAAAATGCAGTCCAAATAATATTCGACCGCACATGGGAAACACTACCTTATTTCACTAAAGACATAGTTGTTTAAATTTTCAGTGTCTGAGGAGTTGAGCAAAGATCAGATTTTGGGATTCCAAGTAACAGAGGCAGTTCTCAGACGTGACGGAAAACTTTCATTCAAAGAGAACAGTGATTTACACGCTGTCATTAACAGCGCCTTGGTTTAAACCCTATTCACGCGTAACTGTTGTGATTATTGCATTTGCTGCAAATGAAGGCGCATTAGAGTCCCGCATGCTTTCCTCACGAAGTCTTTACTATGCCAGTCTTCCCACATCGCTATAGCATGACAAGAATTGGTGGGTTGTAGGCTTGAAGAAAAACGAGCGTCTTATTAATTGTCACCTGGCATGACAGTTTTAGCTTTCTTCACGAATAAAATTGAAAACGAGGAATCAACAGTTCGATTCATGACTGTTGGGCGAAAAATATTTGCATCGAGTTTTTAACTTTCTTGATTGCACTTGAAACTCGATTGTATCTTTTTGTTTTCCTTATTTATTACGGTAAATTTATTTCATGCTAATTAAGTTATATTAATTCGATATCAGCATTTTATAATTTTAACGGTGATCGAATGATAACTAAGGGACAAAGCCATGAATGGTTCATGGAAGTGAAGAATATGGAAGCATTCATGAGATGATGCTCGATGAAGTGCTGCGAGCTTGATCATATTTTCGAAAGAAAAATTGCACTGCCGATGAGTAGCGAAGTAACAACAGATTAACTAATAAATATTCAAGTCAATTGAGTATGGCATGAAGGTCCAGTTACACGATCAAATTGAGCTATCAAATTGGGCCTCTCATTGGTTGCGTCCTCACCTCAGGGTTTTTTCTACCAATCAGAGCTTCAGTTTGATGGCTCAATTTGATCGTGTAACTGAACCTTGACGGGTAAAAATTTCTCAGAGGATACAGTGAGGTACGTCGTGGCATGGGTATTTTCTTCATTGGATTTCTTTTTTAAAGAATTGTATTTCCCGTTTTATCAGACTGAAATCCTGTAAAAATGGGCTAAGTTCTTCCAATACAAGCTCTGAATAATTTTTTCCCTCGAGATTGCAGGTAATTGGTGTAAGGAATAGAAAATAGGGGGGAACTCATTCCTATAAATAATTTTATTTTCCTCTCGACAAAGCAACGCTCTGATGTACACAGCTGATGATATGAACTCGATGATGACACGAAGCATTCGCGCATGATGATCTCATTTTCTACAACGTCAACATGCGTTTTGAACAATTAGTGCAATCAACATGCATTTTCAATAATGGACTTCTCAATTCGCTTATAATTGGAAGGAGTTGTTTTATTCCGTTTTAAAAAATCAAATTAAGGCGGAGGAACCTCAACTGATTTTCACTTTGCTTTTGCAATGATATTGAGGTCATTATTTTCCTTAAGGGCTCTAATAAAAAATGAGGATTTCCAAAAAGAAGCCAGGAGTAAATAAAAAAAGGTAAAGGTCTCAGCCAGGAGTGTAGAGTTAAAAGTTTACATTCATTTGTATTGATAAAAATGTTTCACTACTCACTAACCACTAATATAAGCCGTGCCTACGTTATGCAATCTGGAATCTAGCTTGCTTCCTAGAGGTTATAAAAACGAAGAGTAGGATACCAATGAGTAACGGAAATAATGTCCAATTTCCCTTTGATCCCTCCATGGAAGCCCACCTGGGCCCGGAGACCCAAAAGGAGGAACTGGCCACGACCACTGAGTGCAAAAAATGATTTGTTAGTCATTTTATGAAAAACCATTTGGAAATTAAGAGTGTATGCATATTTTTATCATGCCACCATTTTTTTATTTACTCGAACTATTAGAGCTCAAATTACTTCTTCCCAAAAAGTTAGGATTCCAATTATTTTGATAAAAAAAATTAGATTGTTTTTCGGTTACTTCAACTAATATAGACCTTTAATGGGCACATCGCCCAAAACATTTGTTACTTTTAGAAGAATACGATTGTCCATGACGTCAGTTACGAAGTAACATTTTCAAATATACAATTTTAAGTGTAAGAAAAAACAGATAGGTAATTAAATGAGAACTTCTTGTGCAACAGAACACTGAAATTGAGGTAGCCTATATTAAATTATATCTTAAAAGGTAGTGAGAGTCTATTTCAAACTATAAATGTTGTACTCACAAGTTTGCAGTCTTGTATTTGATTTTGTTTTCTCTGCTCCGATTTTATCCGTTTCCGCTGTTCAATTAGTTGATCTAAATTTAAAAAAAAAAAAAAAAAAAAAAAAAAAAAAAAAAAAAAAACCGGCATTATTAAACAAAGGAGTGTTGTAGTTTACCTGTATTTATAAACATATTGGAGAAAAAAAACAATATTTACTCCAATGTTATTTCCGAAAAATATGTCTCAATATGAATTCCAGGAGGTACTAAAGTACCTATAGTATCGGTCAAAAATGTACATTTTTACCATTAATAAGTTGTCAATGGAAAACTTGTGAAAAACACATTGAAAATAAAGAAAAAGAAACAAATAAAATGTTATTGAATATTGAGATCGTCACATCGGGCAAGTCAATTGTACTATCAAAATCAGTTTTCGCAAATTATCATTCTTTGGACAAAAGCATGTAACTAAATTTCAACGTTACGAAATTTCTATTCGCAAATCGCATTTTAACCAAAAAACTGGTACGCATTTCGGATCGACAATGTTACCAATTTTTCTTCCGATTATGAGGAGTAGTCCGAAAAACATTGATCAGAATCTATATACTCACATTTCTGTAATTAATTGAATTGTTTAAGACAATTTTGCAACTTTGTAATACCCTGGTAAAAATTGGCGATAAGAGCTGCGTTTCAAAATACCATAGGAATTCTTATAGCCGGCTAAAGAAGGCTACAGAAAATCATATAGCTGCCTGTAGAATGCGGAGAAAATCAAACGACCGGGCTATACGAAGCGATAAAGAATTAAGCAGCCGGGCTTTACACTTTATTGCCTGGCTGTTGCTTTTTCGCCATCGATTATAAAAGGCCATAAGAAATTGTGCAGAAATTCGTGAGCTTTGGAAATCATTAAGTTTGATACGGAACCACCTTAATACTTACAAAACACACATTATATTTTCCTTTAATACATATTTTTTTTCGTCAACTAAAATGAGAATAGTCCGTACAGGATGTGCAATATTTCAAAATCATGAGTTGAATAACGCTGACTCCGCCAGCTTAAATATTAGAGCCTAACACAAAGCGGAGCGGCGACGCACTGGCGCCTACAAACCTAACTGGGATGCTTCACGCGTTGCGCACTGCGTGAAGTATCCCAGTTAGGTTTGTAGGCGCCAATGAGCGTTTCGCGCTGGCTGCCCGCCTGCCACGGCACTTGAAGCAACTATTTCACACCAGAGGTATTGCACAGTATCATACGAAACTGAAGGCGCTCTAATATATTAGTAATGGCAGGCATCCTTCAAAAGTACGCAGCTTTCGTCGCAAAATAAATCAAGATACTAAGGCCAAAAAGGAGAGTGGTAGTCCAAAAACTCACTAAGTCCCAGCATCCGTAATTAGTAACGTTCAGCATACACTTTATCGCCTGGCTGTTGCTCAGTCGCCATCGGCTACAAAAGGCTATAAGAAATTGTGTAGCCGGCTATAGAAGCTATTGGAAATCTTGCAGCCGGCTGTAGGTCTATGGTATTTTGGAACACAGATTCTACTGCCAATTTTTACCAGGGTAAGGTTTCGTTTCCTCCACATGGGAAACGGCGAATTGAGAAATCATTACATCAGTGAATCAATACCCGTAGTAAAAATATGAGGTATGCGTTTGGACGCTAAAATTCTATCAATATCAGAGTCTTGACACAATTTTTGGATACCTTTACATCTTTAACGTAAAATTCCGACGCAGAGACAGTATATGTGTCTTGGAGCTTAATTTTTCACCCTGCATGCTTGTTGGACCATCAAACAGAAGCTTTATCAAAAAAGATAATTAAATGAAAAACGAAATAGATCCCTCACCTAGCTCTTTCTTGTAGGCAATCTTGTCCTCGAAAGGCTGTTTATATCTAAGATCATTGTCAACCATATTTCTAATTGGCGCGTGGAATTGGAACCTGAGTTGCGGGTCTTCAACACGAAGAACTTTGATTTTCCCTGATTTACTTCTTACTGGAGCACCAGCTCCTGGCCTTCCCATTGTTGTCACGTGTGTCAATTGTAATCCCTGAAAAATCCAGTTTGTGTCATGATATCTTTCAAAATTTCCCCTTCAAATATTTGTGTACACCCAGAGGCAATAAATCTCAGGATTAAGCGAGGTAAAAGTTGAGTTCGGAGATCAACGTTAATTTTTGCCCTCTCCATGACCAAATTTCAAACCCACGTACCTATCTCCGTTTATGACACTGCAGACTTGCTGCAATAGTTTATTATTTTTATGGGGGGGGGGGGGGGGAACTAATCAACGTCTTGAAAACTTCGTTGATTATCTTTCTCTTTTAGCAGAATACTTTGTATCAATTTCAAACTATACAGTTCTCCATATTTTTGAGAAAATAAAACGGGAGCGAACATTTTGTAACATCGCAAAAGAGATACGTGGTTTCGCACTTTGGTCATCGCAGTGGCGTGGCGTGCTTTGCGATATATCGATTGATCTGTCATTTAAATCTATGGGAAAGTATCGATAAACAGGGTGTTCGCAGCGAACACCTTAATAATCGATTATTTAAAACAGCCTCAAATGAGGAATTACAAATAGATCGAAAAGCACGCCACGCAACTGTCATCGATATGATGATTCATGACAACTCGTCGAACAAAAAGTCAAATGTAATCATGATAAGTGAATATAGGATCAACGACTTTGCCGGGCAAGTTGTTGCTAATTAGGGTAGGATTGCCAAACCAATATTGCTCAAATCTTCACATGAGTCACCAGTAAGTAAATCTGATGAGTGTTAACTTACGGGAGTAACCCTTACACCATACAGGGGGTGTCAGTGTGGGGCCTCGAAATGTCCCTGCGTACACACAATAATTCATCGCAAAATTTGCAAAGATCAACAATAAGAAAAGGGATCGGGTTTTGCTCGGTATGATGTTCAATAATTACTTTCTCACACCTTATTCAAATCTCAGTAAGTACGATGTTTGAATGGAATGACAGTCAACTTACTCGATACTCGGCGCTAGAAATTTTCGGTTGCTCTTATGAAACCGAAAATTTCTGGAACTTTAACAATGCATTTTTCCGTTCAAATAAAAATCTCTGACAGGATATACAATGAGTCACGGTTTGTTCCATCGAAAGGCACTTTAGAAGATTCGTAGATTAACGTTAGTTAGTTAATTTAATACGACGATCAGCAAGTAAGCTATTCTCGTCGGAGACCAGGAGTGTACCTTAAATTTTTAAATTTACTTCCTCAAAGAGCTTTAAAATTTCGGTGAGTCGAAACGTATACTCAATGAGATGTTTCAAGAAATAAACACTGATATGCAAAAATCGCAAGATTTTCCGTGAAATTTATCGGAAGTTTTGGTGAAATCAACAGCATTCATCAAATATACGAATCCTCATTTCGACTTCCATAACCTCGCAAAACGAGAAAAGGTCTCTCTAAAATTTGTCTTTGTTTACTCCTTCAATGCGCCGTTAGAGTCCCTCTATACCCAGAGTTTTTTTTTTTTTTTTTTTTTTTTTTTTTTTTTTTTTTTTGGAGAGCTTGCGCACTCTAGGTATAGTTCATTGGCCTTAGTCGTGTACCGCTAAATGATGGGAAGATTACAACAACAGTAGAAACAGAAGTACAAAGGAAGAAACGAAGAGAAACATCCATGCCACTCCACGGTGACAAGATCTGAGACCATCAAATCTTGCCACCGAGGCCGGGATTCGAACCCGGGACATCTAGGTCTGTGATTAGTTGCGCTAACCACTGGACCAACCGATGTCGGCTACCCAGAGTTACGATATCTCAATTCTGGTCGGGCAGAAAGTGGCCTAAAAAAAATCCAATTCTGATTGGTTCTCGCTCATGGAGTCACAAAAGAGTGCACAAAGATGGCGGTGGCTCGAATTTGAACAAAAGTAATGAAAATATGACCTAATTGTGATTTGTCAAGAGTAAATTGTTATTTTCATCGCATCCAAGTGAAAATAGATCGAGAAATTATTCACAAATCAATCTCATTTTATTTTATTGCAATTTCTTTGGTTAGGTTTTGATCAGATTTATTGGTGTTGTTTTTGGATGACAGACGTGGCAGGATTCCTTATCCTTATCCCTCAATATCGTTCGTTTGGGTGCACACTTTTGTGACACCATGGCCAGGCTCAGGCCACCTGATAATCGAGATGTCTTAACTCTGGGTATAATGGGACTCTATGCTCCGTAAGTGAATTAATTCATTCTATCTGTAAATTTTCAGACTGCTTTTAAGTGTTTTACTGAGGCCCGTTTACCTTGGCTTTTGGCATGTCTTGTGGACCTACAATGGCGGGAAGAGAGTCCAGGAAAACTTTGCGTTTACGGATCGTGTCTGCGTTGGGTGCACCTGCCCCCGGCCTACCCCAAGGCCACGGTTCATCGTCTAACATTTTCCGAAGCTGCAATCAAATATCACCCTCAACTTTTCCATCTGATGATGTTAAAAAAAATTAGTACTCGTATACACGACTGCGAGAGGAAAATACAAATCGGAAAACGTGATACAGTGGTTTGGAATGAATCATTCAAACAAAAATTGCGTTTTGTTTTCCACTGTGCATGTGAACGATTAAAATGTTTCAAATGTTCCCGCTTAGGACATTAATATGTTGAATTTATTCATTTATACAAAATTAAGTTAAAAATTCCACATAAATATAGTCAAGTTTTTTTAACAGACTGTTGTTATCACAGAATTGATAGACTAATGTTTAAGGGGAGCGTAAATCGAAACATAGTATGATTTGTCAAACACTATGGAAAACTCTCAACTAGGAGTGACTTTTAAAGAGCACGATGGATAAATGCATACGGGACTGCATTTTAAGGAGAAAACTCACGGAAAGTTCGTCTCTCGACGGAAACAACTTTGAGAAAAATGTATGAAAAATAAATTTTACCGTCATTGATTCCCCTTAAGAATTGACTTTTTAGACGTGCATTAATTCAATGATGAATGAAAAAAGTCACATGTTGTAAATGTTTCATTTTTTACAGCACTCGCGAAGAATACGTGAAAATAGTGACAAAAAAATCAGATCACTTTAGATCAAACTTCCTTATAGTTAATATTTGTACAGGTGCAAGCATAAAAATTGGGGGGTGGGGGCAAGTAACACACAACGAAACTATACATGCTTGATCTTATCCAATTCACCGTTTAAGAACGCAAAGTCATATCTTAATAATATTTACAGCTTTTATACCTAACAATGTAATAATTGTACTGATAAATGAATTGTAAACGCGTTGCAAACAAACATGCAAACGACATCCTTTGCTGCAGCATACTGCTTTTGATTTTCCCCAAGTTTGGGGAAAGTAATTCGAATTCGCCGATGACGAGAATATATTAAGACTATTTCACACATGCAAAATATGAATCCACAGATCACACACCAATCTTTCGTCAAACAATACAGGCGCCAGTGCACAAGGTGCAGAATGAATTTTGAACATTCTAAACCACACCAGAAAAACAGAAATGCCTCGATTCAGATCATTGTATCATACACTTTTCATCGCCATTCCACTTATATATACATGTAATTGCCTTTATTTTGACGAAAGGACGATACAATTTTAAAAGAATTCATTCGGAGAAATATGTAAAAAAAAAACCAATATTGAATGCATACTTATATTTGTTCCGTGACAGGTTCTTTCCATACATGGCCATACATGGCTTACCCGCTTACATTGTTATCAAAGGAGGTTTAAGAAAGTCCTTAATATACTCTGGTAAAAATTTGCAGTAGGATCTATGTTACAATATACTATGGACCTACAGCCGGCTTGTAAGATTGCCTTTAGCTTCTATAGCCGGCTATACAATTTATTATAGCCTTTTACAGCCGATAGCGATAAAGCCACAGCCAGGCGATAAAATGCATGTATAACTCGGCCGCATAATTTTTTATAGCTTCGTTTGGCCCGGTTGTATGATTTTCTTCCCTTTCTACAGCCAGGTATATGATTTTATATCGCCCTCTATACTGCCATGCTAAGGAAGAACGCCGCATGAACACTCGAGAGTTGCCAAATTTCCTTCAATTAAATGTTTATATTTGAGGAACGATGAAATCATGTTTTCTTGCAATTTTCAGGGACTATAGCTGAAATTGCGAACAAAATTATCTGACAAATTGGCGGGAAAATATTCATAAGTTTACCGGGAAATTCGCATTTTATCTAAGGAAATTTGGCAACGCCTGAAGGTTCATACGGCGTTTTTCCATAGCACGGCAGAATATGGTATTTTGAGACGCAGCTCCTACTGCCAATTTTTACCAGGGCAGCCCTTGCAAGGCATTACAACGGTTTGCCTCTGAAAATAAAGGATGGAAGAAAAAATTCTATGATTTAACAGACTTGAATATAGGTACAAACCTACCTATGTAAATTTTCAAAACTGTTGCAGCTCTTATTTCTTCGGAATGTTTCATTGAAGCAAATCATTGTCATCTCTGGCAAGGGTCAGTTTTCGAAGATATACTGTTGAATTTCACCCAAGATTCATTATAACTGTCCTCTTGATGCCTCTATGTTACGGAAGTCCTTAAATCTCCCTTAATAACAATGTGAAGTATAGGAAGTTCCTAACGAAAGGAGCTGTTCAGGAACGACTGCATCGGCGAATCCAGCAATTTGGCAACATCGTCTTTTCTCAATTTAAATCAATGGGTTTGTATCTATTCTTGGAGGGGTCAGGCGCCCCAAGAAGAATCGATTATTTAACGTAGGTTTAAATGTAAGAAATCCAGTGTTGCCAAATTGCTGGATCCGCCTATGAACGACTGAGAATGCGGTCCCAGCAGAAACGGCAGTTTGAGGCAGTGTTTGTGAAATACATCGGAGCAAAAGCTTTGTGAAATCGGTTCATGAACGTATTACCTGACGTTTCTCGATCTGTTTATCCCGCTCTTTCTGTTCCTTTTTCCTATCGAGCATCGCAAGGCCATCCCTCAACTCCTGTTTGTCCCTTTCCCTCTTCTCCTGATCTAAATCTAACGCCTGCATTTCCACTCACATTCCACTGTGAATCCAAGACAGTTCATTATATACCCTGAATGAGACTCAGTAAAACCAGCATTTTCAGAGGCAAAAAGAGGTCGGATATTTAGCGTCTGGGATAGCTTTCCAATGGGTAAGTTGCGTTGGTCACAGAATCACACTGAAAAAAATGGTATGCTGTTTTAGCACCTAGGATGTCAAAAATGTGTCTGGTGATCCAAAGATGCTGCCTTTGCTGCCCCCGCAGTTAACGTTACATCCTATGAATGCAAATTCAACTACGTGGGCAATCAAGGCCACATCTTAGGATCACCAGACACATTTTTGACATCCTAGGTGCTAAAACAGCATACCATTTTTTTCAGTGCATGTTTTGGTGCTTGATTCTCGTAGATTAGCCAAAAATAATAAAATCTGCCCTAACGGCAACTTTCTGCGTTCAATATTAATCGAGATATCGCCCTTTGAAAAGTCGGGTTTTTGACGTCGTCTTCTTCAGCAGTGACACCCTTGGTTTATTTTATCTTGCTTTCATCCGAGTTACACGTTGAATCCCCAGTGCAAATGTGTGTCACACCGATTGATGAAAGCAAGGTGAAAGAAACCGAGGGTGTCCTGACCGCAATGGATAACGTCATTGACCCGAATTTTATTATAGCTAACCTACAAGAATCACACATCAAAACACGACTTTGTGACCAGCGTAACAGACCCATTAAGAGGACCCTGTGCAGCTAATAGTGGATTCAGGGTTGTGTTCATAGTCTTTCCTTAGAAGACCCCATTTGGTTTTAACTTCTGTGATTAGTTTGGGGGTTTATGGAAATCCTGAAAACAGCACCATAAAAAGACATTTTTTGCCAGCCTCGAGAAAAATTAAGCACTATGACTTTGGAACGGATCCAGCAAGGGACTACAACGATTTTCCACTACAAAAAGTACAAGATACATACATATAAGTCGCTTTACAGCACTCCCTCGCGCTCTACGACTCCTAACCTCCACTGCCCTCTTTCAAACCACTGTGGTTTGAAAAAGAAGGAGTACAAGATACAGGAGAAAAAACAATTTAATTTTGATAAAATTTCAGGTTGATGCAAACCTTTCTCAAAATTTGCAGAACTCGTCATACATTTTCTTTCGAATTTTGTATTATTATATGTTCAAAGTTATACCGTTGAATTTTACACGAGGTTGGCAAACCTTGTCCGTTTGATAGCTATTGCGATGGTTTCAATTAAAATTCTCTTGATCATAGTGTAGACCAACAGTCTCCAACAATAAGGAGCTGTTAAACAAACGACTAAGATTACGACCCTAAGAAATTAATGGTCAACCAATGGCTATCCAAAGCAGCCGTAGGACAGCGAAGGCACCAAAAGCATTTAAGTATGCTACGGAGGAGCGCTGAAGCGAAAAAAATAAACCACTAAGAAATACTGTTGTCCTAACGCGTAAAAATTGCCTGCAAAATCGTGTTTATGCAAACTTATCGACACCATCAACTTAACTTGGTTCGAGCACTTATCGTATGAATAAATTGAACAGCACTCTTGATAACTGGATCACGCATCGTAGAGAACTATCTGCGCGTATTATGTTAAAAATCAAGTTAATTTGTTCGGGCTGATTCCTTTTTAAGTACTTTTCTCATACTTGCCCTGATTCAACGAATTTTTCCTCTTGGTTAAATAACTCATGACGGCTCTTTTTAAAACTAAACGGAGTTTATGATCTTGAATTGTCACAGCCGATAAGAATTATAAATGCCTTAATTTTGACGCGAACATTCACACGAGGGTCTCCTAAAAGAATTCCGGTATTGCCTTCAAGACACACAGAATTGTTTTGCAAATGGGTATTCCACGTCATGTATACATCCAAAGTTACCGTATATTTATGGCGTGCTCTGAAAGAATACATGGGATAACCTTTTATTAATGTCATGTTTATATTTTATGCACTGGGTTGCCAACATTTGAAGTTAGCTCTCGGCTTATAATACAGGGTATTGCGCCGAGACGAGTTGAATCGTGCAATTCGCTAAGAATGAAAGCGGAAGGGGTTAGGGGTACGGAAAGGTATTTTGAGAGGGGGAAAGGGGTTGAGGGTGACATTTTCGTTCAAGGGCGAGCCTCAGCGATGTGCACTTGTGTTTATTTTAAGATTCCGGACTCGATTGCATGCAACATAACGACGATATTGCCAGGATGGTTGAAAAATCAGTGACTATTTGTACCGAGCGAACATCTATTCTGCATAGAAACAGTGATGTCTGAACTCCAAAACCACGTAGGTCGAAATACAGCATTTTATGTCATACGCATACGGGACAAAATGAAAAATCTCTCAATTCGAACAAATAAAATTGAGACACCAATCCGTTTCCTCAATTCTATCTTCAGGTCTCTCGTTCAGGCGCAGTCTTAGAATATGAAATCGGTAATTTTTAAAATATTGCACCTTATGCAGAGATATTTCAGCACCCTGCAGTATAATATCTTGTTGATATCATTTTATCATACTGGCTCAACAGTATTACAGCATTTTGTTTGGTCTCGGAACGGACAAAAACATAAGAGTTGTTACTGTTGCTCGCTTTAAAATTGAAGGAGCTCTAAACGACCGAAAGAACTGGTGCCCGCACGAAGAATTCGAAACATGTAATAGAGAATTGGCGTGCAAATTTTTTATTGCTTCATCTGAAAGAGCTTGAAGAGCTGATTTCCCAGTATTCTTGATAATTCTTTTCTGATTCGGGAAATAGTGTAAAAGTACATTTAAACGCGAGAAAATGCACCGCCTAGTGACGTCATCTAGCGGCATTTCCCATTTAAACTCACGTATTTCAGCAAATTAGATCATTTTGTCATATCTTCACCAATAATTGTTCAATTCATGAACCAAGGGTATTCTCGTGTTCAGTTCACTCAGTAATTTCCACTTAAACACGAAATTCATCAACTTTCAGACATCTGCAAATTCTCTATCGGTGAAAAATTTAGAGGATTTTATGTCCTCTGTTTTTACTTTTCGCCTTTTTGTTTGGCACAGCTCTAATTTTTTTGAGCATAAGGGTAGATTAATGTTGCTAAAATTCTGTAAGTTGTCTCGTTTGATTTGTAAAAGAGGATGTGTGCTAAATATGAATTTTTTTAATTCTTAGTTTTAGTTTGTTTCAATTTATATATGTGTAAAAAACAATATAAATTGTCACTGATGAAATATCGATCAATTTTATGCAAAAATATTAAATATTGATCATATATGTTTCTTTTGATCATTTTTTTTTTTCAAATTTAAACTTCGAAACTGTATATCTCTGGTTCACTCTTGGTAAAAATACTATTCTGTTCTCATTTTGAAGACTGGTCACATCAATGAACTTACAAATTGAGTCGAATTTACTCAAGAGTAATTGAAAATCAAATGAATTAAAATTTAGTCAAATTTTACCCAAAGTAGAGTCAAAGTTGACTCGATCTTACCTCCAATATTGGATCAGAATATCGATGGCTAAATGCGAAAAATGCTTACCTCAATTGCAACGTTTAAAACTCTCCAGCTATATTACATTCTCTTCGCGGGAAACTAATCAAAATTTCTCCTTCCAGAAAGATTATTTTAGCATTAGCAAATATTATAATCACAGAAACTTGCAACAGGAACAGTTTATTGGTTTCCCTAAAAATAGATGAAACGTAAGTGGAGACTTGGAATGTCACAATCTGAGTTACAGAGGTTAAACTTTAGTCATTGATATAATTATTGTAAGTTCGGTTTGACATTTTTGGGTGTTGTTAATATAGACAGCTCAATTTTGAGTTTTTTTCAACTGAAGTCTCCTTTATCATGGAAAGTCTATTCTGTACATTGTTTTGTGTGACAATGGTAACTAATTAAAATTTGTGGACTTTCTTGCAAACGTAGGATGAAAGATGTTTCAGACAAAAACCTGAACATCGTAATGCACTTGCTAAACTCGGCTAAATAAGTTCAAATACAAAGCCATTCTTTAGCAGTTTATTTTGTAAAAGAGGAAGTTGAAATCGTCAAGAATTTTATCATCACAGTGACAGTACATCAACCACAAAAATACGCGAGGTCACGTCAAACTGTTGAACTTCATTGCTAAGTCGCAGCCGTCGTAAGTTGAGAAAATTATTATATAGTGCATTTCAAAAAGCTTTTAAGCTCAAAATCCTCTTACAATCCAATTTGCATACAAACGCACATTTAAAACTGCAAAAATATGCATAATACCAAATAACGATGCATTTAATATGTAGATTAAAGTTCCAAAGATGGACCAAAAAACGCACCGTCTTTGAGGGGCAATTATCCGCTGTGACAAAAACCACCATGTCGCACAAAACCGCTTTAAGACCGGTAAAAAGTCCGAGCATGTATATAAAATCAAGATATACCGCCTTGCTAAAAAAAATGCCTTAAGAACACTCGTTGTCGAATCTCTTGTATTAAAATACGAATTTTTCTATGATGTCGGGTAATATTCATATTTGTAATTCTGAAGGAATTTTACTGGCAATTAAAGTCTGGCCTGAAAATTTGGAGGGAAAATTTACAAATTTTCTTAAAAATAAATATTTTGTTGCAGAAAATTTTGCAACATGTGGATGGTCAAGCGGCATTTTTCCATAGCGTGGCACTTATTATACTAAACTTGCTCTGACTTAACAGCGGAAGGTTCGTATGACCCCTCAGACGTTGCCAAATTTCCCTCGATAACATACAAATGTTCGGGAAAATGTTCAAATATTTCTTTCCAATTTTTCAGAGAACGTTATTCGCAATTGGATCTAAAATAAGAGAATACATTTTTTAAAAAAAATTCTTTTGCATCTTTTAAAAAAATAATGTTACATCAGAGGAAATTTGGCAACGCCCGAATGTCCATACGGCTTTTTCCTCAGCACGGCAGCCCTCCTTCATTCCGAGAAAAAAAATGTTTAATTGAATGCAACGCTTTTGATTAAAACGCAAGTGGACAGAATCGACAAA